CTACACGACGCTCTTCCGATCTCCCCAAAACCCCAAAACCCCTTATCCTTCATTTTGCAGCAGATCGCTGAAATATTAATTTATTGATTATATAAGTAATAGGGAAATATATGGATTGAAGTATTTAAGAAGAATTGTATCTTGAGAAGCAAACAAAACGTGCTCAAATCATTCTCTTGACCAATTCGTTGATTTGGTCCTCTCTGTTGCCCCAAACTCCACCGTTGTGGTAAGGATGTCTCTTCTCAGCGAAGCCTTTTCTTGGGGAGTTGAGCTTGAATGGCCAGAGGAAGTTGTTAGCTTCCTTGAAATGAGGTCCACAGGTGGAAATCTCGTGAACAAGATCTTCAACGCTTGTAAGTCCGTGCTTCTCTCCGAGTACTTTCTCAACGATGGCGTTGTCACTGAGAGGGATTCTTGATCCGCTGACCTTTCCATAACCTCTCTTGTAGATGAGCTTAGCAATGGTCTTTTGAGATGGGAAACCATAGGTGATATAGGGTTCGACTCTTCTGAGCATGTTAACAGTGGCCTTGTTCAATCTGACGAAGACTCCGTTGTGTAATTGTCTCAATCTCAGAAGTTGCATGATCTTTTTGCATTTGGGGTCAAGCTTGTTGATACTAAAATGAAAAAATTAAGTTCCATATATCAAATAATAAAAGGTTAAGTCTAAAAAATATGGAAGAGTGATAAAAACAGAATTATCACTCAACGGGAATATATGAAATATTTGCGATAACTTACCCTCTGGTTCTGATGGCAAAAGCGACCTTGGCCTCAGCGGGAACGAAGAAATTACCAGCAGCCTTGGCTTGTCTCAAGTTATCAACGAGACTTCTCTCAGTAGCTTGGTACTCATTGTAGTATTTTTCAGCATTGGCAGCAAGTTGCTTTCTCTTTTCAGCTCTCTCCTTTCTCTCTTGATCTCTTCTATCCTTAAGCTCCTTCAATAACTTGGCGTCTCTGGCTTGCTTCTTTTGGATGTTCTCGGGGACCACTCTACAGAGAAGTTTTCAAAATTCTTAAGATATACCTTGGCATTGTGATTGCTTAATATATAAAATAATTAATACTCTCATATTATTACTATTTAATTCAAATCATTTTCTTTGCTCAATCATCTAAATCAATAATACATTAGATAAGATGCCTCCTAAACCATAAACAAGAAGATAGTCAATGGCAAAAAATTAAAATATGGAATCTACGAAAATACTTACAGACTACTACCAAATGACGAAAAGAGGCTCAATTAATCAGATTATCTCAAGGATTAAGTCTTCCTCTTAAGAAAAGCAAACCAATTATTTGGCATCTTCAACTCCTTCATCGAGGAAAGGATCAATTAAGTCGATTAAAATACAAACTCCTGCTTCAAACATAACCAATAATTCTAGCAAAAAGAGAGATAGCAAGCAAACTGCAAAGAATACGCCTTTCACCCCAGTCAAAATTACTCCAAAGTTTTAGTAACCATTTATGATTTAGAACCTGGGAACTATAAGAACTAGACTCAATAGTGGAAAGCTATAGACTCCATTAGTGAATCCTTAAATATAAACTCAGGATAAAAATTAACAAGGAAAAGTTCTATAGTAAAATAGTTTGTTTAGGAATTCATCGATGATATTTGACTAAGGAATCAAGTGCACCACCTAGAGGTCAGGTGAATACTAAATGAAGCCCACAAATTACACTGTATCTACAGATGTCACTCAAAGAAATCATCTATCTTAGGATACAACCACCACGAGTAGCGTATCAATAAATAAGCGCCAAAGTAATAATTATAATTATTAATTTATTTATCACTTATAGATAAAAGACAAGCCAACTAAAGAGAAGATCAATATGCCACTACATTTAGCGTTATTGGAGAAAAAAGATCGATAAGGCAGGCTACTTAGTTGAGTGTTCCTCCAATTTCACACGGAATGAAGGGAGTAAAAGGACATTGTCAATCACAATCTTCTCTATTGCAAGCAGCTGAATCTACATACAAAAGAGCTTTCAAGACACCAGAACGAGTCTTCCTAGAGGACTAAAGAAGTGGACAATTGAAAGTTTTCAAGCAAGTGAGAGATGAAGATTTATTCCCTGGAATCTATAATAATACTCAATTTTCACTAATTAATCTTAATTTCTATCACAAACAAAGAGTAAGTCTCCCATCATTACTTAAGACATTTGCTGATCTTTGAAATTTAGGAGTGCGACTATGAAACAGATATTGACAGTCTGCAAAAGGCTAAAGAGATTTTGAGAAAAGATTTAATGGATGCTTTAGACTTTTTCGTTAAGAAAGATCCCCTTGTATTGATAAATAACATTTGAGTCATATTTTCCACAGTCAAGCTCGCAAACGCTTGCAATCTTAATTCCTTATTTGATCTTATTTATTTATAAACTCAGAAGTTAAGTTTAATTTATTAATTAAAAGTAAAGAATAATACAGCTTTTAAGAATTAATTAGTCTAATAAATTATAATTAAATTACTCGTATTTACAACAGCACTTAATTCTTAATGAGCTTCAAAACCAAATCGATTCAATCCAGGAAAGAACTCAAAAGGAATGATCCTAACATCATGAGTCATGATTAGATTACTGTTGAATCACAGTATATGACTATGCACACAGAAGAGTAAGAAGTGAGTTCTCATCATACTCATACACTCAAATCTTTAGATGTTAAAGATATTAATGATCTAAAATCAAGACAAAAAGGCAACCTCATCTCAGATCAATGGACTGTCAAATCAGGAACAGATTCTAACTCAAATTACTTATTTACAAGTGTTGAAAGAGTAGATGACTATACCAAAGTTGAGTAGAAGAGGAGTAAGAAGTCTAATTTCAAGACATTCGATATGTCCAAGCTAACTAAGGCTTAATAAATTACGAAGAATTAAAGTAGCTCCTAAAAATAAAAATTAGTAGCTAGTCCTTAGAAGTAAAAGAATTTATCGACCATTATTGGAAACGAAATCTAAAATTCGAGATCAAGTAAAGCATATCTAATAAACTTTTATATTTGTAGAACACACATCAATGATTAAAAGTTCAAGAACTGATAAGCACATGAGAACTGGCTCAAACTAAACAGATGAAGTTAAAACAGGTACAATTAATCGCTCTTCTGAAAGGACATTTTCACCTTAATCAAGAGAATCTTCTATTGTCAAAGATTTAGAGTATATCATAAAGAATGGTTATAGAAGTAAGAAAGATGTGCTGTGGGATAGCGTAGCGACGAAAAATAATCATATGGCAACTAAGTAAGTAATACCACTTAATATTGTAAAATTCTTACTTTCTGATTAGACCGTTTTAAACTGGTTTGAGAAACACTTCAAATTTAATGACTAAAATAGTCAAGCACATAACACTTGATATGACAAGTGCTAACAGTTCACAACGGTCAAGTTTTGCAAGAGATTCTTCCAATGGTTCTAGAAGCTATAGAGATCAGTTAGGCTATTAAAAGAGATAAGGTTCTTAATTACCAAATTTACCAAGTAATGCTAGAACATTGGTAATTTTTAATGTTAAATTTTACTCAATTTAGGATGTCGCATAACCTAAGATTGCATTAACAATTCCTAAATCAAGAGGTTTGAGAGATCTCAAAGCTGAAATAATGAAGAGTAGTAATGTTTTCAAAGGATCTGAAAGAGCTGAAGTTTCTAGACTCCAATTGCGCAGTTAAGAAAATTCAATGGTATCAAGGGAATCACTACTTTCACCTAAAGCTAGTTTAGGCTAAGCAATATATACTCACTTCACATAATTGAATGACAAAGATGTAGACTAGCAGTTTGGAAAGCCAAAAACTAGCACTCATGTTAACTCGAGAAGACTCAAAATGTTTTATACCACCCAAATTCAACTCTGACTTACAAAAATATTCTAATCATTTACTTAACTTTTCATTGATTTACAATCACTGCTTCGGGGTTTTGGGGTTTTGGGGTTTTGGGGTTTTGGGGTTTTGGGG